CCCAGTGTGAGTGAGCATATGACCATTTAAGCTATTCAATACTCTGAATGTTTTATTGCATATTTTGCATTTATTGGATTGATCCACAGTATGACTGAGAATATGATATTTTAAGCTACTCGCATATGCAAATGCCTTGTCACATTTATCACATTTGTAAGGTCGTTCCCCAGTGTGAATGAGCATATGTTGATTCAAGTTACCGTTATGCACAAATGTCTTATCGCATATTTTGCATTTCCAGTGATGCTCTTCACTATGAACAAGCATGTGTGATTTTTAAGTGATTTGAAAGTCTAAATGTCTTACCACACACTTTGCATTTGTGGAGACGTTGCCCGGTGTGGATCAGCATATGCAATTTCAATGCACCGCGTTGTGTGTATGCCTTATCACATATTTTACATTTGTGGGGACGCTCTCCAGTATGCAACAGCATATGCACCTTCAAATGACCTGATTGAGTACAAATCTTATGGCATATTTTACATTTGTGGGTTTGTTCCTCACTGTGAATGAGCATGTGTGATTTTAAATGCTTGGAATTTTCAAGAGTCTTATCGCATAGATTGCATATATAAGGTCTCTCAGCAGCTTGAGCATGAATATTTTGTTGTTGTTTTCCTGCACAAGGACAAACGTGTCGATCTAACTTATATTTTGTGATAAATGCTGTGTCACACATTGTGCATAGGAAAGGTTTTCCATCCATATGAGTTTTCAGATGTATTTCTAATGTTTTTGCATCTGGAAAAGTCTTTGAACAATATGTACATTCAGGTTTATGTGCTTCCATATGCCTTTTCAAATTGTGTGGCTTTTTAAATGATCTATCACACTTATCACATTTATAAGGTAGATCCTGAATTAATTCCTGTTGTACTTCTTCTTCGAATTTTACTATAGAGTTCATGAACCTTTTCAAACATGTTTTATCATCATCTGAACATGATTCAGGCTCTTCTTTTATTTCCTGTTCAATATCTTCAATTGGAAGTTCTTGTGGTTCCATTTTAACTATAGATTCATCCGATTGTTCTGTGGCAGGAGCACAAACGTGTTGATCCAAATGATTTTTTGTAGTAAATGCTTCATCACACTTTGTACATACGAAATATCTTTCATCTTTATGATTCTTCAGATGTATTATTAATGTACTTGCATCTGGAAAAGTCTTTGAACAATCAATACACTTATGACTATGATTTACCATATGCTGTTGTAAATAATGCATCTTTCTAAATAATCTATCACCCTTGTCACATTTATAAGGAGGGGTCTGAATTAATTCCTGTTGGACATCTTGTTCTATCTTTACTATGGAGTTCATGAAATTCTTCAGACATGTTTTATCATCATCCGAATATGATTCAGACTCTACTTCTATTTCCCGTTGAAGTTCTGGTGGTTCAATTATGATTATCGGGTCATTGTCAGGGACTGTTGTGGCTTCTGACATTTTAAGATATTTGTGCACTGTGTGTATTCTATAAGTATTACAAAAGTAGTTAGTAACTATTTATTTAATATGAATTCAACTACATTTACAAATAAAAACATTAGTTGTTGACAGTTGAAGAGTGGAGTATGTTTTAGAAAGGCAATGATAAACGCATTTATCCTGTTGTAATATTTCACAGGGATGTATGCTTAAAGTCATAATCATTCAGGCTTCCTCTGTCAACACAAACGTGCAAATTTATTTTCTAATTAGAGGTAATCTTACATTAAGATAAATGTATTTATCCAAGATGACTCCTTCCTCAAAACTTTATATTTGACAGTAAATATGAATCTCAACGTATTCTTCAAAGTTTTTCATCTATTGCAGAGCTGAAATAAAATAAATGAAACTGTGTTTTAGATATTCTTCGCGTGCCTTTATTTAAAACTAAATATATTTTTTTCTGAACAAAATAATTATTATGATATGTCAACCACGTGGATTAACCTTACACTACCTTTATGTTTATCAATATGTCACAAATACATTTCGCGTAAATTATTATTTGTATTTAAATATAATTATTAATGCATTTAAACCATAACCAAACGTAATAATTAAATAAAAAAAATATGAAATGTTCGATCAAATCATTAAACAATTTGTTTGACAGTTAAACGAACTTTGTAACATGGCGGCAGTGTTGCCAAGTCCACCATAGAGAAAAACTGTAGAAAACTGTAGAGTAGATATCAATGTAAACTAGTGACGTGCATCATATATAAACTATAAATTCAAATAATAGAATATATCATAGATAAGTAAGTTTATATAAAAATGGAGCTCTCGATCAAATGATTCGGTAAAACTCGAAAACGGCTAAACCGATTTGGCCAGTTTTAGTCTTGAAAAATTCGTTTTTTTGTAGTTTTATTTATATACAAAAACGTTAGTAAACGGGCCGCAAGTGTTACGAGAAACTCAAAATATCAACTTTTTTGAAATGTTAATATGAAAATGCACTTTTTGGCATATTTTTCTCAAACACGGTGCCTTGAAAGATCTCATTTGTATAATTGTATACTCATTAGTATTTATAAAACATTTTCTAGGTTATATTAATATAACCTAGAAAATGTGTTATAAATACTAATGAGTATATAATTTAGGTATAATGAGTATAGATTTAGGTTCTGAATTTAAATAACATAAATAAAAATTAATTAATTTTTATTTATGTTATTTAAATTCAGAACCTAAATCTGGGATCGATCAAAGGGACATTTTGTCGAATAACATTTTCCCATTTATAATTTCCCAGAAATTATCGAAGAATAGATAGTAATATATTAAGGTCCGGGGTTAAAAAAGTCTACCACCTAATGTGTCAAAACGCAGTATAGTTAAGCATTATTTAACAACAATATTTGAAAGTAGAGGGAAAAAGATGTATAACCAGCTATAACCTTGATTCTTATAACTTTGCTATCGGGATTTAAACGGTAATCTTTGAAAATCCATAATAAAAGTATTTTCTTCCGTTGGTAGTTTTTTAGCATTAGTTAAAAATGTAAATATTTTGAAAAATACCTTTAAAATTAAAATAGGACATTAAACCTGTTTGCCACCTGGCCGTTCCAAGTTACTCCGCCTTTGGACTAAAAAGGTTTACATAACAAATTTTTGAAAGACATAAAAAAAGTACATTTCTACAATGATGAAGTAGCTGGCAGTTTTACTGAACGTAGTCAGATAAAAAGCAGGACAAAGAATAATTCATTTTCTATCTCTCCTCGCAGAAATTTGAAATTTTTGTATAAACTCAGTGGTATTATTTACAATTATACTCAAAATACAGAATCCAAAAATAATCTCAAAAACTTGAAACGTAATCAATAAATAAGTCGAAAGACCAAAAAAGACTTGGTTTGGATTAGGTATACCATGTTTTCTATAGAAAGTGTATAAAACTTCCAGTTTGATTGTATTGACAAAATATAGACAGCCTTTGATAAAAACTAATCAGCACATCTCCCTATCAACAGGAATCAAATGTTTTTTGAACCATTCAAATCGGTTCATCCACGCGCCCGAATACGTGCAGTTTTGCCGTTTTTTATATACCCATGATATTTTTATCAAGGTTTTTCCGTTTTTATTTTTTTAAATTTTCAAAGATATCTATCCATGGATTTTTCAACAAAGTTTTTACCGTTTTTAATATAACAACTGTTAATAGTAATTACATTAATACGAACGAGTTTAGGCGCTTAAATCCTGCCGAATATTCGGTATTCAGTCTCTGGAGCATGCCGAATATTCGGTATTCGACATTATGCAGAATACACTATTCATTGCAGGCCTAATTTAAATCCAAATCATTTATATTGTTTTGCCTTCTCCAAAAACTAATCATTACTTCACACTGTCAATAGACGCAAAATGTTTGTTGAATAATTCTAATCGGATACTCCGTTTTCTCCAAAATTGCTATTTTTTACTTAGTATCACTGAATCGACTGCAGCTTCCTTTTTCAAAAACTAATCACCCTATTAATAGGAGTCGAATGTGCAAAGATATGCAAAAATTTTCATTTTCGACTTTTTTGCGGTTACTATAACTTACCATACGAAAAGTTAATAAAAAATGAGAATTTCAAAATTTAAATTTTTACATTTAATTTAAATACATTCACATAAATTTGTTAAGATGAAAAATGTTTAACCAATTTGATCTTTTGATTTTTAAAATAACTATTATACCTACAGTGAATATAAAATACTATTGCGTTGAAATATTTTAGATTAGTCATTGATAACATAGTTTATTCATATTTATAAAATATACAAATTAATTCATATGTATTAACAATATGTATAAACAGCCATGTTTTACTTTATGCAAAACCCTTATTTCATATTTCATATTTTTAATTACTCTTTGGTATGAATCATCATGTGTTTTTTCAAAAAACGAGATTGTCTGAATTTTTTATCACACACTTTACATTTATGGGGTTTTTCCCCAGTGTGTCTTAGCATGTGATTTCTCAAAGTATTTGAGTGTCTGAATGCCTTATCACATATTTCACATTTGTGTGGGAGTTCCCCAGTGTGAATGAGCATATGTAGTTCAAGCTCCTCAACTGTCTGAATGTCTTATCACATATTTTACACTTTTGTGAACGTTCCTCAGTGTGAATAAGCAGGTGATCTTAAGGTTGTTCGGATATTTGAAGGTCTTATCACATATTTCACATTTTAGTGGACGTTCATCACTGTGAAAAGGCATGTGTCTCTTCAAGTTCCTCGGATGTGTGAATGTCTTATCACATGTTTTACATTTATAAGCACCCTTTCTTTTCTGCGTGAACATGCATATGTGATCTCAAACTCTTTGGCTGTGAGTATGCCTTATCACATTTGTTACATTTGTAGGGTAGTTCCCCACTGTGAAGGAGCATATGATTATTTAAGGTACTCAATAATGAGAATGTTTTATTGCATACTTTACATTTATTTGGACGATCACCAGTATGAATGGGAATATGATCCCTTAAGCTACTGTAATATGCAAAAGCCTTATCACATTTTTCACATTTGTAAGGACGTTCCCCAGTGTGAATAAGCATATGTTGATTGAAGGAATCTTGTGTTTAAATGTCTTATTGCATATGATGCATTTCCAAGGACACTCCTCACTATGAACGAGCATGTGAGATTTTAAGTGACTTGTAATTCTAAATGTCTTATCACACACTTCACATTTGTGGAGACGTTCCCCAGTGTGAATCAACATATGCACTTTCAATGCACCGCGTTGTGTGTATGCCTTATCGCATATTTTACATTTGTGGGGACGCTCTCCAGTATGCAACAGCATATGCACCTTCAAATGACCTGATTGAGTACAAATCTTATGGCATATTTTACATTTGTGGGTTTGTTCCTCACTGTGAATGAGCATGTGTGATTTTAAATGCTTGGAATTTTCAAGAGTCTTATCGCATAGATTGCATATATAAGGTCTCTCAGCAGCTTGAGCATGAATATTTTGTTGTTGTTTTCCTGCACAAGGACAAACGTGTCGATCTAACTTATATTTTGTGATAAATGCTGTGTCACACATTGTGCATAGGAAAGGTTTTCCATCCATATGAGTTTTCAGATGTATTTCTAATGTTTTTGCATCTGGAAAAGTCTTTGAACAATATGTACATTCAGGTTTATGTGCTTCCATATGCCTTTTCAAATTGTGTGGCTTTTTAAATGATCTATCACACTTATCACATTTTTAAGGTAGATCCTGAATTAATTCCTGTTGGGGTTCTTCTTCAAATTTTACTATAGAGTTCATGAACCTTTTCAA